TGCGAAGGGCAGACCCTCCGCTCGCGAAGGCGGGAAGGCGCCCGCAGAGACGGCGGGTCACGGTCCAGGCCCGAGTCGGGGCGCTGAGCGGGCAGAGCCGGGCGCGTGTTTACCGGGGCTCACGAACAGGGGCGACGGGGTAAGCCAGTGCCTGCACTCGAGCTCCAGTGCAGCCCCCCTCCCCCGGAGGGCGGAGCCCGGACCCCCGGCCCGCCTGAGCCGTCCCCCAACAGAGCCTCGGTGCCCGGCTCGGTAACAAAGAGCGGGGGGGGGGGCGCCTCCTCACCCGGGAGCCAGGAGTCCAGCTCCAAGGGGAATGGCAGTGTGGGGAACCACCTACGACGCATGGAAGTGGCCGTCCTTCACGGCCGCTGCACAGACAGGCGCCAAGGCCTCTGTCCTCGCGCAAGAGTAGAGCAGGACACACGTGGGCGATCGAGGAAGAAACGCTGAAAACTAGGAAACGGAAGGAGGCGCGCAGCTGCCCACACCCAGGCCAGGGACGCAACGGCACCAGGAGCCGTGTCGCCCTCGCCGCCCCGACTCGGCCTGGTGTCTGCTAAAGTCCTCCGCTCCGGCCGGAGTCCGGGGGTTTCTCCGGGTGGGGAACGCGCTTTCTTTCGCCCGGTTCTTCCCGGCAGCCGGGCTGTGCTCGCTCACCGCGCCAGCTGGCCGGTGGGCAGGGGCAGGACCCTGTGTCGGTTCTGTTTGCTGGAGGCAGGGGGCAGGGAGCCCGGTGAGCCCTGAACCAGGCCGGGGCGCTGACTTACCAGAGGCAGCACCTGCAGCGTCCACCGGAGGTCGCCGCTCTCGGGTGGGCCCAGGCCAGACCCGGCTGCAGGAGGGACAGGCCGGCACAGGGGTGGGGGGCAGCAGCCTCCACCCCAGGGGCTCAGGTGTGGGGAGTAAGGGCCAGAGGGCCCTGGCGCGGCCCAGGGACGGGCGGGCGAGCTCCATGCGGGCGGCAGATGCCGCCCCCAGCGGCCCCTCCGCTCTGTTTCTGCAGACGTCCCCTCCAGCATCGCGAAGATCATCATCGGCCCGCTCATCTTTGTCTTTCTGTTCAGCGTGGTGATCGGGAGTATTTACCTGTTCCTGCGGAAGCGGTGAGTCGGGGTGCGCGGCAGTGGCCCGTCCCCTGGGCCCTGCTGGCACTGCCTCCGTCCAGGGCGGGCTGGCCAGGCGCTGTCCGCCGAGGCTGACTGGGGAGCGCGCAGCGGCCTTCAGTCACAGGTGCCCCCGCCCTCGGCTTCCCTCCGAGCCTTCGTGGTGACCAGTGCACCCCGGGAGGTCGGGGCTGTGGACACCAACCAGAGTGGGGTGAGGTGCACGTGGCCAGCGGTGACCAGAGGCTCTGCTGAGCCGGGCACTGGCTCGTAGGCCCCGGGGCCCTGGGTGCCCCGTACGGCCAGGCAGGACACACGTCGCCTGCGCTCGGGACATTCTTTCTGTCGCTTCCTCCAGCTGGGACAAACTGCAGAACAGGCAGCGGCGTCCTGGCGTCTGCCCCCTCGCCCTGCGGCGTGACTGTCCCGCCACAGCGGGCTGCGGGCTGGGGCGGGGTGACGCGAGGTGGGCAGAGGCGGGGCCTTCGGCACTGTCCGCTGTGTCCGGCACAGACCCCGCAGCGGAGCGAGACGGCCATGTGAGGCCAGGCTTGGGGCGGCCAGTTGTGAGGCGTCTGACCTGGTGGCTGTATTTACCGGCAGCTGCCAGTGTCCTGCACTGAAAAGCTGTTTCTTGTGCACTGCAGCGGGCAGGGCAGCCGGAAACTGCAGGCCACGGGCTGAGCGCGCCTCAGTGGCCTCCGAGGGGCGTAGTGGCCCCACCCCGCTTGTCCAGGATGGAGGTGCTGGGGCCCCCGTTTCCTGACGGTGCCGCTTTACCCTTCCAGGCAGCCGGACGGGCCCCTGGGGCCCCTGTACGCGTCCTCAAACCCCGAGTACCTCAGTGCGAGCGATGGTGAGCACCGCCCCGGCCTGCCCCGGGCCCTCCAAGGGCAAGCGCGGGCGCCCTCTTCGCGGGCGGGTAGC